CGCGGCCCGGGCCCCGGCTTCCGCCCAGGGGGCCGCGGTCGCGCGGGACCCTCTGCACTCCAGCGTCGTCCGCCCGCCCGAGCCGAGCCCCGCAGGTACGGGGTGGGATAGGCAGGGGCACCCGGGGAGGGAGGCACGTCCCGGAGGGAGACGCGGTTTGGGGCCGGGGTCAGGAGGGAAGGTTTCCGTGGGGTCTGGAACCCAGGCGACGTGGGGAGTGGGGGATGTGTGTCTGTGCACTGCCTGAGTGAGTGAAGATTCACGAACTCCCCTGGGTTTGATTTGGGGGTGGGCAGAGCAGTGAGTCCCTAGACTCCATAGATACGGCGGCGCGGCGGAGGGGACTCTCCAGAGAGGGGAGCTCTCGGGGTGGAGGCAGTGACCCAGGACTGACTTGGGAATGGGAGGGACCAGACCCTCACTACTGGTCCCTAGATCCAGCAGTTAGGGGCGCCCGGGCAGGGGTCGAGGAGCCGGGCCCTCAGCCCTCCTTGGACAGAGGTCGGGGTACCCAGCGCAGGGCACTGCACCCGCTGTTCTGGAGGGCGGGGCCGCAGATGTGAGTGCTGGAGGCTGGGGGCCGAGCCGGAGATGCTGATGAAGATGGATGGGAGTGGAGGGGCTGTGGAGGCCCCTGTGAGAAGGGCAGGGCAGGCTAATCGCACCCTGCTGGCTGCTGGCAAGTTGCTGTTGGGTGGTACGCCTGAGGGGATCGGGCAGTCAGCCAGCGCCTTGCTGCACCCCTCCAGGGCAGCCCATGGGATCCTGGTCCCCCTGCAGAGGTAGGGCCCAGAGAGTGCTGGGGGAGGGGTATGTTGGGGTCCTTCCCCACCCTCCTCAGGAACACATGACCCACTTCTTGCCCACACATCCTGGAAGGTTCTGCAATGTGCTGCTCTGCTCGTGGTTCCTGGGAGCGGCAGGGTGGGCATTTCACCCCACGGGGGCTCTGCCTTGGAGACTGATGGGCAGGGGGCACCTTCTCCTGGTCCAGCTCTGAAGGACGGAGCGTGGCATCAGGCAGCAGCGTACTGGTGGCCAGGTGCTAAGCATTTTCCCTGTGAGACTTCATTCCATTCTGGCCACCAGCCCTACTGGGTGGGCACCAAGATGCCCCTTTATTGAAGAGGCAGCTGAGGAGGGGCAAAGACTTCATCCTGGCTGGGATGCCCCAGGGTCCCTCCCAGGCAGCCACTGCATCCAGCCCATTGTTTGTGAAAGGGCCTATGGGGCCTGGTGGATTCTCTCACTTCCTGTTGGGTGGGAAAGGTCAGAGGAGCCAGCCACCCTGCTCCATGTCGCCTGCCCACCCTCCTCCGCTCCTCAGGAGTCCTCCTGGGTCCTCTCTGCTCTGCTTGGCCTACAAGGTTCCCGCACAATGTCTCCTGGCATGGAGTGAAAGGGGAGACTCTGCTCATCCCCCTGCCTCAGCCTTCAGGGAACGGAGGTCTCGTGCCCCCAGACACACAGAGAGTTTTGGGAATTCCAGAAACCCTCACAACCAAATGCAGCCCCTAGGTGTTCCTAACCTTCTAGGGGAACTCCTTGGTGAACCCAAGGGCCTTCACCCAGAAAAACACACTCTTTCGTGGACAGCCAGACCTTGGCTGGGGTTTCAGAGGGGCTCCTGGTTCTTTGGGAATCCCTGAGGGCCCAGGGACCCCAGCATTAGGCCCACGTTGCAGCGGGGGAGGAGAAGGTGGCCCTGGGAAGGGCTGGGGTCTCTTGTCCCCAGGGCCCTCTGGTCCCACTCAGCCTGTAGGAACAGTCTGCCCCTTTTTCCTCTGGGATCTCAGGCAGGCCAGTCAGTCTTTTCATTTCCTCTACAGTCGTGGGAGGGGTCAGGCGCTCATCACACCTGTACCCTGAGCTCTGTGGCCCCTCAAGGGCAGGGCCAGGCTGGCTCCCTTTCCAGATGGCAGCTCGTTGAGGCTGGGCAGATCTGGCACCCACTGCCCCAGACAGCACTAACTTGTTCTCTGCCCTTCCTGGCTGTGTGACCTTGGACAAGGTGCTGAACCTCTCTGAGCCTTGTGTCCCGTCTGTAAAATGGGAGCAGGAACGTCACCTGCCTCGCTGAGTGATAATAGGAATTAAATTCGATGATTCTGATGAAGAGCTCAGCCCCCAATCAGTGCAGGTACACGTTAACATGATGGGCACTGGGAAGGCCCTCCACTCCTCTGCCCTCCCAGAAGTCACCTGCTGCCTGTCCCCCCCCCCCACCTCCTTCCTGCCCAGGGCACCTTAGGACGCAGCTGCCAGGCCAGGAGGAGCATGGCAGACACTCAGCTGAATTTGGCCTGTGTGTCGGGTGGCTGAGTCACATCCCCAAATTGCATCTCCATCAGTGCATTTCGGAAGGTCGTTTGCAGTGCCCCCACCCCCTCCCAGTCCTGGCTGCCAGGCCACCCGCCTCTCCCGCCTGTGCCCCCGAGCCCTGGGCTGGGACCTTCTGCACCTTCAGGAGGGATGGTGGGAGGGGTGCCTGCAGGGGCTGGGCTGCTGCGAGTGTCCTGGTGGCAGGCAGAGGCTGAGCCCAGGGGTAGAGTGTTACCCAAGGATGGAGAGAGAGATCAGAGCCAAGGTCGGTGTTATAAACTGTGAAGTGCTGAGCCTGCGGGAGGCCTGGCCTTGTGAACTATGAAGTGTCAGGCCACAGGTGGCCATGGCCTGGATGATGTGATGGGTGGGAGTGGTGAGGGAGGGGACGGTCCTCAGACTCAGGAGGTCCCTCAGCTGTGGAAGCAGTGTTTCTGGTGCTCTTGCTGTGGGCTGGCACCAGTGTCTGGAGCCATGTAGTGAGTGGGACGGAGACTGTCTGGGGGCCCAGACAAGGGCACAGGTGGTCCTGCAGTGCGTGGGGCAGATGCCCTGGCCAATGCGGGCTGTGTCTTGCCCGGTAGCATGGCTCATCTCGGCGTGTCCTGGCGCGACACTCTCCGTGTCTGTCACCCCCAGAGCGCGGGTTCAGGGCCGGGAGGTGTCCTGTCTGTGCACACATCGCCCTCCCAAGTCTGGCACATGGGCCCCCCGTGCATGCTGGCCTGGCCCTTTCAAAGGGGATGACACTTGACCCACTGGCTGGCCCTGCCTGGTTTGTTAGGAGAAGCCCAGGAGGCAGCCCGGACCAGAATCTGCCCTGTGAGGAAGTGGTCCCTTCACAGCATGGTGCCTCGGTTTCCCCACCTGTAAAACTGGCCAGATCCCAGGACCTCCTTCTTTGGGGTAGTGTGAGGACTAAGGAGAAGCTCTGTGTGAAGGACAGAGCCTGGAACGAAGTGGATGTTCAGTCGGTGTCGGCCGGGGAGGCAGCGGGGGTGCATGTGAGGCTGAGACAGCAGGCTGGGGCGGGGGACGCCAAGCGGGGCAGGGGAGGGTCTGGCAACTCAGGATGCGGGAGACTGGACCCCAGGCAGCCTCATCATGGCCATGTCACTGTCATTGAGGTCCCTGCTCTTGCACGTGACGCCACATGACACTGCCCTGTGCAGGGGCAGAATCCAGGGATGTCAGGGTGATCAGTCAGTCTGCTCCTTGGAGCCTGGCAGGGAAACTGAGGCTGGCCCGAGGTCACAGGGCTACGCCGAGCGTGTCTCACGAGGCCCTGCAGAATTAGTTCTGGGACCCAAGAGTTAAATCCTGGATTGCCACGTTGGTCCTGGAATCTGTTCAGAGATCACGGCCCCTCCACCCAAGGCAGGAGGGAGCTGAGGGTCTTGTAGCCACAGCCTTGGTCCCCAGTGTTGCTGCAGCCATACCCTGCGTCTGCATAAGTCTGCTTAGGCCTTTGGACAACTCTCGTGGAGCACCCAGAGGCTCAGTACGGTGAGGTTCACTTGTCCAGGGGCCTGGAGCTCAGAAGGAGACAAACCTGGATTGGAACCGCCTCCCGCCTGCTGCACATGTACATGGCTTCTAGTCCTCCCAGGCAAACCTGCTGGCAGATTCCATCGCCATCTCAAGGCATTCAGAAGTGTTTACTGATGGTCAGCTCTCTGCCAGGCATTGTTCTAGGTACTTGGAGACACTGAAAGTCAGTGGGCAAAGGTCCAGTAGGAGGGTGTTCCAGGCAGAGGGCACAGCAGGTGCAAAGGCCCTGAGGCAGGACCAAGCTTGTTGGGATTGGTAATGGGGAGGTCAGTGTGGCTGGAAGAGTGACTCTGGGGAGAGTGAGAAGGATGAGGTGGGTGGGAGCCAGACCACAGAGCACCTTGTGGCCACGGTGAGGAGTTTGGTTTTTATGCAGCGGCGCTGGGGAGCCATGGGAGGGTTTTGAGCAGGGGAGGGACATAGGCTGACTTGGGTGTATCTGGGATGGCCAACCCACGTGTCAGCCACTCTGGATTCATGACCTCCTGAGCCTCAGAATGTTCTGGGGTGGTGGCAATGGTGCCTGGCCGGTTGGCGGGGCCCTGACGTCGCTGTGTCCCCTGTGCCCCTGCAGGTCAGCACAGGAGCCCAGCCTCTGAGCCATGCCGCGCCCCGGGCGGCCTGCAGCAAGCCCGACCCCGGCACCCACATAGTCATGAACAGCCACAGCCACAGCGGCTGCGGGGGGCGGCCACCGGGCAGTGGGCTGGGTGCCCTGGGCCGAGACCCTCTGGACCCCGAGGCCGGCCGCCCCCCGCAGCCCCCGCATGGCCCGGGCCTCCAGGTGGTGGTGGCCAAGAGCGAGCCGGCCCGGCCCTCTCCCGGCAGCCCCCGGGGGCAGCCCCAGGAGCAGGAGGAGGAGGAAGACGAGGAAGAGGATGAGGCGGGCCGGCGCAGGGGCTCGGGGAAGCCTGTGAGTGTGGGCCACCGCCTGGGCCACCGGCGGGTGCTCTTTGAGAAGCGGAAGCGCCTCAGCGACTACGCCCTCATCTTCGGCATGTTCGGTATTGTCGTCATGGTGACCGAGACGGAATTGTCTTGGGGCGTCTACACCAAGGTAGGCACCCAGGGAGGCCTAGGGGGCCCCTTGGGCTTGGGGTTGGGGACCACATCTGCCCCAGGAGAGGACGGTGGAGGATGCTGGGGAGGCTCTGGAGGTGGGGAGCGGTGCAGGGGGCTGCCGGGCCTCTCACTGTGCCCACTCCTGGGGGTAGCAGGCAGGCTGCAGATGGGGGCAGAAGGTTCCAGCCCATTCCTTCTGCCCTGTACCACGGGGCCACACCCTGGCTTAAGGTGGGGAGGGGGCTGCCCCCAGGACAGGCCTGGGCCAGAGAGTGGAGAAACAGCTTCCCCGCTTCAACAGTGGTCATGGCCCGGTTGTGAGCCTGGCCAGGGGTCCCCGAGTGTGTGTGAGGACGGAGACAGGGCAGGGCCATGTTAACCTCTAAACTGTGAAGTGCCAAGGCTGGATGAGGCCAGGCCTTATAAACTGTAAATGCTGGGACCACAGAAGGCCAGGCTTTATAAACTCTGAGGTGTTGTGCCTGCCTGAGGCCAGGCCTTATAAACTGTGAAGTGCTATGTCTGCCTGAGGCCAGGCCTTATAAACTGTAAGGTGCTGTGGCCCTTTGAGGCCAGGCTTTATAAACTGTAAAGTGCAGAGCCTGCCTTGCTGTCAGCCCAGGCCCAAGGAGTAAGGACAGGAGCGTTGCTTCTTGAGCAGAGCGCCCAGGTGGGGTCAAGTGGGCCGCCTGCCCCCCTCCTCCCACCGTCTGCTCTCTTTGCCCAGGAGTCCCTGTGCTCGTTTGCTCTCAAATGCCTCATCAGCCTCTCCACGGTCATCCTGCTGGGCCTGGTCGTCCTCTACCACGCCCGGGAGATCCAGGTCAGTGCCCAGCTGGGCCGGGCAGCCCCGTCCTGGGCCCCAGAGCTCTCCACACCAGCCACCAGGGACCCCAACCCCCTAAAACATAAAACGACGAGTAGACTCCTTATAGAAAAAAAAGACCTCCGTGAAGACCCTGTCTAGGTCACTCGAGATTTCCTTGGAACGCGTGTTTTAATTTTCACTGACGTTTGAGAGAGCAAGCGGCTGGTGCGGGAGTGGTGGTGAGTGGGGCTGGTCTGCTGGGCCGTTTCTGCAGCTCTGGGGTCCTCGGAGGTTTTGCCACGGGAAGCAGTGTGTGTAGCGCCAGGCCCCTTTTCCTCTTTGATTGAATGCCGAATTTGGAAAGATTTATTACATACCAAGGAGTTTGTTCTCTTGTTTCGAGGATTAATCAAAAGCAGGTTGGACTGAGGGAGAGCCAGCTCAGGGCGTGTGGGGCGGGTGTGCCCATGGAGGGCTGACGTCACTGGCCGGGGCTGGCACCAAGACCCAGGGATGCCGGAGGTCGACAGATCTGGCTTCTGACCTTTGGCCTCTGACTCCTGACCTCAAGGAGCCATGGTCTGGCGGGAGATGGGTGTAGGAAAATCCTGCCTGGCTCGCACTGTGTGCAGACATTCGTGGGGACACCCAGGGTCTGGTGCTCAGGGGGACCCTGGATGTGGTGGGGGCAGCAGAGAGGCAGTCGGTGACTCCTGGGCTGGAAGGAGGCAATTGTGAAGTTACAGGCACGGGGGACAACAGTCTGGTGGCTCCTCAAATGGTTAAACACGGAGTTACCACGTGACGCAGCAACTCACTCCTAGGGAGAGACCCAAGAGACGGCGCCCACATCCACGCAGAGGCTGGTACACGGGTGTTCGTAGCAGCACTGGTCACAACCACCAAGAGGCGCAACAGCCAAGGTGTCCGTGAACTGCTGTCGAATCAGTGCAGTGTGGTCTGTCCACACGGTGGACTGTTGTTCAGCCAGAGAGGAGCGAAGGCTGAAGCTGTGGCGGGGCTGCCTTGACGAAGCGCCCCAACTGAGTGGCTTGCGGCGCAGACACGCTGTTGCGCGGAGCCCTCACGTGGCCTTTCCTCCGTGCCTTGTGTCTCTTCCTCTGCTTATGAGGACGCCAGTCCTGTTGGATCAGGGCCCCCCCTTACAACCTCATTTAACCTTAATCACCTCTTTAAAGGCCCTGCCTCCAAATACAGCCTCATTTGGGGGGTTAGGGCTTCCACACGGGGATTTTGAGGGTCACAGTTGAGTCCGTGACACTGCACCCTCTGGCCCGTCCCCACGTTCATGTCCTTCTCCCATGCAAGATGCAGTCACCTCATGCTGACAGCCCCAAAGCCGTCCCCATCCTGCCTCCACTCAAGTCCAGAGTCTCGTTTCGGTGTCATGTAAGGCAGATTTGGGTGAGACGGAGGCAAACTCCTCTCCACCTGTGAACCAGATGGGTCGTGTTCCTCCAAAATAAAGTGATGGGACAGGCCTGGGATGGACATTCCCATTCCAGAAGGGAGAGCTCCGCAGGAAGGAGGGAGGCGCGGGTCCTCAGCGAGTCTCAGAGCTGGCAGGGCACATTCTGTTGGATTGGAAGGCTCGAAGAGGGCCCTCTTTGGCTCGGGGCTCCCCTTCTGGGCCCTGGGTGGTGGCCTTTTGTGCTGCCTCCTTCACTAGCGTGGCGTTTTTGAGGTCTGTGCCCATCGTAGCACAGGTCAGGGCGGAGTACCAGCCCGGGGTGCTGGCCGCACTGTTGGTCCTTCGTCCGCTGAGGGACAGCTGGGTGGCTTCCACTTTGGCGATTATGAGCAGTGCTGCTGTGACTGTCGTGCACGAGGGTTTGTTCCGACTCCCACGTTTATTTCTCTTACCTACACGCCCGGGAGCAGGGTGGCAGCGTTGTTGGTAACTCTAAGTTTTGGGGAGTGCCCGTCACACGTTTGGTTTGAGTCGTGGCCAGCCCCGAGAGCTAGGGAGCGTCCCCTACAGGCCACGTTTGTCCTGGAGGCCGAGCCCACGGGTCGGCCGGGGTCTCGAGGGGGCCTGGGCATGTGTCCGAGACCCACGGCCATCCTCCGCAGCTGTTCATGGTGGACAACGGGGCGGACGACTGGCGCATCGCCATGACGTGTGAGCGCGTCCTCCTCATCTCGCTGGAGCTGGCTGTGTGCGCCATCCACCCGGTGCCCGGCCACTACCGCTTCACGTGGACCACGCGCCTGGCCTTCACGTACGCGCCGTCGGCGGCCGAGGCCGACGTGGACGTGCTGCTGTCCGTGCCCATGTTCCTGCGCCTCTACCTGCTGGGCCGCGTCATGCTGCTGCACAGCAAGATCTTCACAGACGCCTCCAGCCGCAGCATCGGCGCCCTCAACAAGATCACCTTCAACACGCGCTTTGTCATGAAGACGCTCATGACCATCTGCCCGGGCACCGTGCTGCTCGTCTTCAGCATCTCCTCCTGGATCATCGCCGCCTGGACCGTGCGGGTCTGTGAGAGGTGCGCCCCCCACCCCCACCGGGAGCCCCAAACCCAGGCCCCGTCACCTGACCCCCGACCCCAGTGACCCCATGCCCACCCACAACTTCAGTGACCCAGGCTCCCCCGGCCATCGCTTCCATCCCCTGACCCCCAGCCCCTGCGATAACCCCCTCCCTCTGTTCCTGGCCTCAGGGACGGTCCCTCACATGCAGCCCCTTCATCCTGGGGCTCCAGCTTTGTGTCCCCAGCCCACCCCGACCCACACCCCTCTGAGGGACCAGCCCTTTCCCCTCCCCCTGCCCCAGGGGGTCTTAGGCTTCTCCCCCCGCCCCTACTGCAGGCAGCTGACCCCTGACCTCCACCTCTGACCTCCGGCCCAGGGTGGTGGAGGCAGCAGGAACAGGGACCCCCCACCTGCCTGTCTCCCCCACAATTTAACCTGCTCTCCTTCTCCCCTCTGCCCACCCCGACGGACTGTAGGGAAAACATGTGAGTCCTCCCCTGGGCCGGCCGAGCTGTGTGCTGTGTGCGCAGAGCTGCCGTCCTGCCCGCCCGCCACCGCCAGGAATTTAAGATTAGCTGCTGCGAGGGGGAGGGGCCGCCAGGCTGCGGGGGTCAGGCCCAGGGCTGCAGCCTCGGGGTCCTTATCTCCCAGGTCGGGGGACAAAGGGCTCAGCTTGGGCGTCTCCTCCGAGAGTCCAGTGGGTCTAGGCTGAGTGACAACTGACCCAGCTGTGGGCACCCAGCACGGGGTTTGCCCTGAAGCGCCCTGGAAGGTGGCGGGTTGTCAGCCCAGTTTACAGATGAGGAAACTGAGGCTCTAGGGGCACAGGGGTTTTCCCAAGGGTCCGACTCCTGCTCGGCTTCAGAGACCCCAGGGGGTTCCTGGAGAGGGAGCGGCCCCACTGGGCCTCTTGGGGTGCCGGGTGCCTTGTCCTGGGGCACCTCCCCTGCCTTGTGCCTAGCTGGGGAAGGCCCTGGAGGGGTCTGTGGTGGCTGGTGCTGGGACTGGGTGTCCTGGGGGGTTCCCTGGGCTGGACCTGCCCCCCCCAGACCCTAGGCCTCACCCCTTCAAGCCCCACGTCCACGGCCCTTGCCTCGGCCTGACGTGAGGCTCATGGGGGGTGGGTGAGGGCCCAGCTCTTCCTGTCATAAGGCTTACCGTCCTGGGGTCACACGGGGTCTCCTTGGACCCCTGATACACCCCACACCAGTTCCCACAGCCCCTCCCCACCCCGTTGGGCAGGTCAGGATGGGGTCTAGGGAGTGGGAGAGAGGTGCCCTCGTCAGGCATCCCTGAGTCATTGCAGGGGTCCTGGTGAGGGGGCACGGGGCAGGGCCAGGGGGCAGCCAATCCTAAATTCCGAGCCCCGGCCACTGCTTGACGCCCCCTCGCCTGCCTCGCTCCCCCCGCCCCGCCTCCTGCATGCCCCCACTCCCAGGTCCTGGGTGGTCCTCCCACACCCTCCAGAGCTCCCGCCGGGCCTGGGGCTCCCCGCCAGCTGCTGGAGGCCCCTCTTCCTGCCTCCTGGGAGTGGGGTGCTGGTCTCCCAAGAGGTGGAGGCCTGGGCAATGTGGGGCTCAGGTGCCTGGGTGAAAGAGGGGGTTCAGTCCCTGTGCTCCTCAGCAAGCACCTGGAAGCCCAGGCTGGAGGGGCCTGGGGCGGTGTCCGACCCGCTGTGGGCGGGGACCCCAAACGTCAGACCTGCTGGGAAGGCCTGCATCTCTCCCGCTGTCTTTTGGTGTCTCCGTCTCCGTCCCCTCTCGAGCCTCTGACTCCAGCCCCGTCTGCCTGGAACAGCCCTGCTGCGGCCGGGGGACCCCCCCACTGTGCCACCTCAGTTGATCTCTAACCTTGCACCCCCACCCGGGGAGGTTTCCACCCATGGGGATCAGGTGGCCTGAGGCCTGGGATGGAGGGAGCCAGCGGGAAAGGGCTCCGGCCCCTCCGGGTTGCAGGGGCCCGTGCAGGTGGGAGAGGGCTGGAGCAGAGCCTCGGGGCCCAGACCCGGAGAGCCAGCCCTCCGGCCCAGCGGGGCTGACCACAGGCAGAGGCCGCTCATTTGTGTCGTGTGTGACCAGGACAAAATCACGTCCTTTGTGAGGCCTTGGGGTCTGTCCCCCTGGATACCAGAAGTTGAGCCCCAGGCCTTTCTCCGGGGCCAAGCGAGCTGCCCCTCCCTCCAGACCCAGAAGACCCTCAGGCCCAGAGTTGGGGGGACGGGGGCCACCCTCTGTACTTTGCCTTTCCTTCTTTTCCTGTGTCCCGGGGCATGACTCTCCAGCTTCCTGCCTCCCCGCATAGTCCTCCTCCCTCCTCTGGGCCTGCTAGCTGGGGAAGTTCTTCCTGATGTCTGACCTAAATCCTCATCTCCACTCCCTGCCGCTTCTGGTGCCCATGTCCACCCGTGTTGGCGTCTGTCTATGTGTCTGTCTTGGGGAGGGGACTGTGTGCACACACGTGGACACAGTGGATGCACCCTCACCTGGGTCTCTCTCTGCCCTGTAACCGGGGCTGGGGAGGCCAGGTGTCATGGGCAGCTGCTTGGGGGTTCGGTGAAGGGAGAGGGCTGGAAGGGATGCTGGGGAGGAGGGTGCGGGTGCTCCTGTCCCGTGGAGCCCTTAGGAGCATACGGGGCTGCCTGGGCCCTGATCCCCTCCCTCCCCGCAGTGGCGCCTCTGTCACTGTGACCCCTCAGAGGGATCAGCTCCCCGAGGTCGAGGCCCCCACGCAGCTGGGTGGACCCGGGGCCCTGGTGTCCTGGCGCTGCCCCAAGGGGTGTGATGAAGGCAGAGGGAGCAGCGTGGACTGACCGGGCCCTCCCGCTTCCCCAGGTACCACGACAGACAGGAAGTGACCAGCAACTTCCTGGGGGCCATGTGGCTCATCTCCATCACCTTCCTCTCCATCGGCTACGGTGACATGGTGCCCCACACCTACTGTGGGAAGGGCGTGTGCCTGCTCACCGGCATCATGGTAAGGGTGAGGGCCCTCGCACACCCCCCGCGATGGGGAGCTCTCCCCATGGCAAGCTGTACCAGGTCAGGCTTCCTCCTTGTGTCAGCCCGCCCCTCCACTGCCCTGCTCCTTCTCCCATGTGTTGTGGAATCCGCACCCGCAGGCATCTGGGGCTGTCTCCTCTCAGCTTTTTCAGCCCAGATGTGCAGCACCTGCTGTGCCTGCCAGGCCAGATCTGAACAGAGTGTCGCTGTCACCCCTCTATTCTCGGTCCACTTAATTCGCAGCCCTTGGGTCCAAAGTGAGGGCTTGGAGCTTCTGTGCCTGTTTCCCCGGTGGCAACCACGGCCTGCTTCCTCTGCTTGTTGTAAGGACTGAGTCCATTCATTTCTGTGAAATGCCCAGAACCGTGAATGCCCCGGACACCCCGTCAGCCTCCTTTGAGCCGTGCCTTCGCAACACGATTCCCCACCCTGGCCTGACTGTCGGGGTGTCCTGGGACCCTGCTGAGCCCCTATGATGTGACTTGGTGGGCCCAGGCAGTCCCCCAGCTCCCCCAAAGACTTCTTGAGTCCGTCTGTGGGTGTGGGCGACCTTTGACATCTGGTGCCTTCTCTTTTGCCTGATTCGATCATCAAGTTCCCTGCCCATCCCCACCTTCCAGAACCTTCTTTCTCTCCAGGCTTCTTTCATCTCCTCCACAAATGCTTTTCCGTGTTTTGGATTATGAGTTCGATGCATGGTGGGAACTCTCCCCACCCCCCAATTAATAACATGCAGATTTGTGAAAAATCAGTGAACACCGACGGGCGAAAGGATCCAGCCTGCTCCCTCCCCAGGGCCCAGGCCAGGCCGCTCCCCGGAGGGTGGCCTCTCCTCAGCACAAAGAGAAGCATTTGTTCTTGAAAAATGTGACACCTTCCCACCGATTCCTTCCTCCTGCAGAGTGCGGGGGCATCTTGCGGTGGCTCAGCCCTGCCCCCTTGGCTGCATGTAGACTGTCCCTGGTTGTCACTGTCTCCTGAAGCCGCGGCTCTGTCCCTTCTTCACCTCTAGTCTGCTCCTGTTTGGACGCAAGCTGGGGGTCCATGTCCTCTGGCTCCCCCGGGGCTCCCTTCTCAGGTCCAAACAGATAGGGCCCCTCTCTTAGATAAATGGCATCACGCATATTTACTTATGTGAATGCACAAGAGAGCGGAAGGGAAGAAACTAAAGATTGGGCAAACCCCCCAACACCCCTGCCCCCAGCAGAGGAACTTTACAAACGAACCAAGAGAAGCCTGCAGGTAAGACGAAGTCAAACCCAGAAAGCCCACAAGGAAACAGAAAAGCCGTGTTCCCTCCTCTGTGACTTGGCTCCTTCCGGAAAATTCTTCCATGTCTAGCCTGCAGCTCACTCCCTGCCCTCGGCTCCAGCACACACACCCGTGTTCACGCCGGGGTCCATGTCTAGCTCTTCTGTTAGCTTTCCTCCTCCATCCTTCCCAAGTGTGTACCCTCTTGGTCACTACCCCATGGACACACCCCCCCCAGTGTTTCACCAGCCATGCGCTTACCCATTTTTGAACTTCAGGGCATCCCAGCGTGGTCTCCTCCAAGCCCAGTGTGTTTTGCTCAACACGGCATCCGTGCTGTTGTGTGGAGCCGGCAGCTGTTCTTTTTCCTTGCTGTGTAGTATTCCACGTGGAGTTTTCCCACGTTTCCTTGTCCTGGTTGATAGGGCTTATCCTGAGAAGGGGCTCCCAGGACCCCCCAAGACCCTTGTCCTGCCTGGGAACCTGTGACAGGGTTTCCTTGGGGAGCGACTTTGTGCGCACCCCACCCAGGCTTGGCGTGTTGGCATCCAGACCCACCCAGAGCAGTCTGGTGGAGTCCCCGGCCCTTGCCCTGCCCTCCCCATAAATGTTTCCTTCTGTCCTTGAGAAGAATGGAACTGCTGCTCAGGCGCCCCACCCGCAGGGGCCGAGCCTGGGCCTCTGGCTCCTTCCATCCTGTGCACAGCAGCCGCGGGAGAGGGCAGCAGCTGGCGGGTGAGGGCCGGGGTGAGCCTCCAGCGCATGCGGGGAGCCATCTCCACCACCCCTCACCTGCCCCTGCCCCTGGTTCCCACCCCTCCTGGGGCTGGTGACGCCTCCTGGTGTCCTAGGCTCCCTGGCCCCCGCTTCTTGGCGGCAAAACTTCCCTCCTCCCTTCCTCCTCCTGTGTTGCTTTCGCTGCCTCCCACCCCACTTCTCAGCCCTCTGCTCCCCCCGAGTCCTCTTCTTGCCCTCTCTGTCTCACAGCAGCAACCAAGGGGACAAACAAGTCCTCTGTGACCTTCCCTGGCCAGGGTCTGGCTGCATGTGCAGCATCCTGGGGAGGGCGGTGCATCTAGCGGGGAGCCTCCACGGGGAGCCCCCCACGCTCCCCACCTCCTGGCACCCACACTTTGCCTCCTCCCTCCTGTAGTGCCCCGCGCTGCTCTCGCCTCTCTCTGACCCTGCCTGCTGACGCCTGTTACCGCTCGGCCACACGTCGGCTGAGTCTTTGTCCCCAACACCCAGTCGCTGAAGCCTCGATGGGAGTGTTTTCAAACTCTCCCACCTCCATGGTCGTCAGCCCTGCCTGTGCCTGCAGATCCTGCCCGTATCTTGTACCTTTTTTATCTCCAAGCCTCAGTTTCCCCCTCTGCCCAATGGAGATAAGAGTTGTCCTACCTTCCAGGGTTGTTGGGGATTGAATGGACTAATCTGTGGGACGTGCTCCCCAGATGTTCGATGGGCTCAGGAGCCAGTGAACCCGGAGGGGTGGGGTGTGCCAACACTGCAGACTTGGAGGGCAAGGGCAAGGGTGGAATCAGGGCAGGCTTTCTGGAGGAGGGAGGGTGTCCTGCCCACGGCCTGGGACCTCCGTTAGGTGGGACGCTGACGTGCCCCCTCCACCCCACGCAGGGGGCCGGCTGCACGGCACTCGTGGTGGCCGTGGTGGCCCGGAAGCTGGAGCTCACCAAGGCGGAGAAGCACGTGCACAACTTCATGATGGACACTCAGCTCACCAAGCGGGTAAGGATGCCGGCCCCACCATGGCCACCTACCCTCCTGGTCGGCGAGGGCAGACCCTCCCCCCTTCCCCACAGGTCACTGCACTGCCCTGTGCGTGCCAAGACTGCTGGGCTCTGCTGCCCACGCAGCCATCCGTGAGCCATGCACAGGGACATGGTGATGGCCACAGGTGTCCATCTCTGCCCAGCCACAGCCCAGCTGTGGGCCATGCAGCGTGAGGCAGAGGTTCTGTGGCCCGGCAGCCAGGTGCAACTTACAGGCTGTCTGACCCTGGCAGGTTGACCTCTCTGTGCCTCAGTTTCCCCATGTATAAAATGAGGAAGATACTGGGATATGTAGGTTCACTGAGTTAACATTTGCAAAGTATGTAGAAGGGGCCTGGCCAACGGTGAGTGATGTAAGTGTGTTAGGCACTCATCCACGCACACACACATGAACACACGCGGCACAGATGTGGATGTGCAAACATGGTCCTGCCTTAGAGTCTCGGGACTCCAGATGGGCGTTTCCAGGAGTTTCTAGAGGTTTCCAGAGCCTTCCGTAGTTTTGCACCTATCCTGAGAAACTGTTCTTTCTCTGGCCCCAGGTAAAAAATGCCGCTGCTAACGTTCTCAGGGAGACGTGGCTTATCTACAAACACACCAGGCTAGTGAAGAAGCCAGACCACGCCCGAGTTCGGAAACACCAGCGTAAGTTCCTCCAAGCCATCCATCAGTAAGTCCAGCACCTTTCCCACTCAAGTTGCTGTGTCACCCTGGCACAGAGGCAGCCATGGCCCCCAGGAGGAGGCCGTAGGCCCGGCCAGGCATCTCAGCGTGGCCTTGTCATTGCCACTCCCATGCTAGGTGGTCACTTGGGGCCTACAGCTTCTGTGCAGCGTGGGATGGTGGGATGGTCAGAGGGAGGCAGGTGATGGGCACAGCACTCATTCAGGACCTCTGATAAGTCATGCAAACCAGCCAACATAAGTGGCAGGAAGCATATTTTATTCTCTGGAATAGCCAAAATGACTTTACCCCTTGGACTTGGAAGCAATTTCCCCTTTTTGCTTTGGCTGCCAGGAAGCTCAGAATTAAATTTAAGGCCCGATATGTGATCATGTGGGGTAATTAGAAATTACTTAATTTCCTCTGTTGTCCCATTGTTCTGAGAATTATTTAATCAAGTGGTTCTCATCCTTGGCTACTCATTGGATTCACCTAGGGGGCTTTTAAAAATCCCACAGGCCACACCCAACACCAGTTACAGTAGAGTCTGAGATGCAGCTAAACTCAGGTTTAAGTTCCTCAGGTGAGTCCAGTGTGCAGCCAGAGTTGGCAAACTTTTTCTATAAACAGCCAGATATTAAATATTTTAGGCTTTGTGGGCCAGAAGGTCTCTGTCACAACCATTCAACCCTACTGTTGTAGTGGGAAGGCAGCAAAGATGAATGGGTGTGACTATGCTCCAGTGAGACTTTATTTTCCAACACAGGCAGCTGTCCAGATTTGGCCTATAGACCATGATATGTCCATTGCTGTCCACTGGAAATACCATGTGAGCCACATATATAATTTTAAATTTTCTAGTAGCCACATTTAAAAAAAGTGAAAAGAAACAAGTGAAATAAATTTTAATATATTTAATCTAATATATCCCAAATATTATCATTTTACGTGAGTAGTAATCATCATTTATGTGAGTAATGTAAACATCATCAATGAGATATTTTAGAAAGTTTTTGGTACTAAATCCTCAAAGTTCACTGTCTGTTTCACACGTATAGCCTGTTTTACTCAGACTAGCCACATTTCAAGTGCTCAGCAGCCATATGGACAGCACCCTGTCTAGAATTTAAATAGCTCCAAATTCTCTGGAGTGGGGCACTCAAATATAAATTACAGTTGAGTCACGTGGTACCCGATTTAAAATAGTAAAAACATGTTTTAAGGCACTTTTCAGAATGAGCCCATAGGTTCCCAACTCTCACATCCTGGGCAACCCCATTCACAACTGGGCGCCCTACACGAGTCAGATGGATCCCTGCCCCAAGAACCCCCAGGCCAGACTCAGGGGCCGATGAGTCAGAGAGCGAGGCAAATGGTGTTAGGGTCTGACTAGCAGGAAGGCAGCTGTGTCAGCCATGGGAACAGAGGTGGAGGCAGCACAGAGAACCCCAGTGTGAGCAGTGGAGCAGGGCGGTGGGCTGGCAGGAGACCCCAGCATGTGTCTGGGGAACCGTGGCACCTGGGGCACCAGAGGGTAAATGAGTGTGACCATGGAGAGACCAGGCCATGGGACAGGAAGCTCAACCAACTGGACTTTAATTTTTTAATCTTGTTGAATCATTTTTGCCTCTTTGAAAAAAAGCTTTATTGACATACAGTCAACTGCACCTATTTAAAGTGTACAAATTGATCAGATATGGACACACCCATGAAACTATCACCACAGTTAAGATAATGAACAGATTCATCACCCCGAAAGTTTCCTCGTGCCCCTTACATCCTTGTCTCTTAGCTAAAGTTTAGTCCATTTACATTTATTGTGTTTACTGTACCATCCTTGTCTTCTAACTAGGCAGTTTAGTCCATTTATGTTTACTGTGTTAACTGTTAGAATTGGGCTGATTTCTAACGCTAACAGTCCCTACTTCACAGGACTGTGGGGAGGCCCAAGTGGGATGATGTGCAGAAATGCCCGGCACAGCCCCTGCACAGAGCAGGGGCTTGGTATCGCAGGGACCCCCCGACCCCTGCTCCCTGCCTCTACTTCACCATCACCTAACAAGCAGGGAGAGGGGCTGGTGCCCCACTCACTCGACTTCTCTGTGCCCAGGTGTTAGTCCTCGTCCTCATGAGACCCCAAGGCCCTTGAGGAACCCTCCTTTTGACCCTTCCGCAGTTGTTAGCTGAACACTGGGTCCCAGGTTGATCTCTGCCACCTAAGTGGGCAAGTGACTGTGCTGGTCTAAGCTTCATTGTCTCATCTGTAAAGTGGGGGTGACGGTAATGCATCTTCTGTAGGAGGAGGACGTGGGGCAAACACGACTGAGTGACCAGATGACTCGCTTGTGCCTGCCTGTCACACAGTATTTTCTAAAACCAGGAACTGCCCTGGTTGCTGTCACCACCCTCAACATATTCATTCGGTCATTCCACAAGCATTTCTTGCACCAGCTGGTGTCCCAGGCATGGGGGACACAGACATGGCCCTGCCCTGGACCTTGCTCCAAGGGATGTTCCAGAAGGTTCTTTGGGGGAAGTGGGGGGGGTGAGAACTGAAGGAGAGCCAGGTCTGGGGAGAATGCACCTGCTCTGTGAGTTACCCGTCCCTTTGTTCTGGAGCAGGACTGTCTCCCTCACCCTTAGGTCCCCCTGCACTACCACCCTCAAAAAAGTGACTCTGCTGAAATCAGGCAAGTTTGAACTAGGGCCTGAAGGGTGGATAGGATTTGGGTAGGAAGCTGAGGGGTGGGCAGGCATACCAAGGAGTGTCCACAGCCTGGGCAAAGGTGGGGAGGCGGGAATGCGCATCGTGCCAGGGAGACTGCAGGCATGAGGGAGCCATGGCACGGTCTTGAGCTGGAGAGAGTCCCCATGATGGGAGCGTCCTATGAACACCAGTGAAAAGGAAGAAATGGTGGCAGAGAGAACGGATCCAGGAGCACAGCATGGGTTGGGGGAGTGTCTGCATTTCCTAGGGTTGCTCTAGCAAAGGACCACAAACTAGGTGGTTTAAAACAACAGAATCTGTCTCACAGTGCTAGAGGCGGAAGTCCAAACCCGAGCTGTCGGCAGTGTCCTTGTCCCTCGGAAGGCGCTCGGGGCGGGGGTTCTGCCCAGGCCTCTGCCTGGCTTCCGGTGGCTCAGGCGTTCCGGCCCGTAGACGCCTCGCTTCAGTGCCCCATCTTCACGGCCTCCTCTCCACAGCTGCACATCGTCCTCCCGCTGTGTGCGGCTGTCCACGTTCCCGCCTTCTCATAAGGACGCCCGTCAGTGGATTAGAGCCCCCACTGACCTCGTCTTCGCCTGGTTAGATCTGCAAAGACCCTATTTCCAAATAAGGCCGCATTGTGAGGTACCAGAGTTAGGGCTTGGACGTATCTTTCTGGGGAACACCATGCCACCCGTAACAGGGCAGTTCCAGAGCAGCCAAGAGCGACTTCCCCAGGAGAAGGCACGCAGGGCCGCTCGGCATGCCCCTGCTTCCTCTCCAGGGCACCCCAGGCCTCCCAGGCTGGGCCGTCCGTACCCGTGTCCCTGCCGACGCGGGCTGGCCCTCTCGGGCCGGGCAGCGTCTTGGGGTTTGGGCGAGTGAGGCAAGTCCTGCGGAGACGGCCTCCCTGGGCTGGTGTAGCTCCGGGAGGGATGGAGAGGAGTGGGGGACACACTAGCCAACCCCCACCCCCTCTGTGGGCAGCTGTCCGGGGGCCCGAGGCCTCGGAGGCTGAGGGGCTGGTGCAGTTCAAATCTGCTGCAGGGTTCTAGGCAGCGGCTTTGCGCCTCGGCCTTGGCCTCGCCCTCGGGAACCGGCGCGGGCAGAGTTTTCCAGAGTGAGGGCCGCGTCTGGGGCCGGGCCGGCCGGCTCACGTGGAGCGGGACTGCAGGGCAAGGGCAGCTGCCTTTGTCGGGCGGGCGCTGCTGGAGGGAGGAGCCGGCACCACACCCTCGGAGGCTGGGCCCCTTCCCGGGGCAAGGGCAGCAGCCCCCGGGCCGGCCTGCCTGCCTGGCCCCGGGGTGGCACACGTGGGAGGCGGCAGGGCCAGCCTGCGCGGCTGTGCTGAGATGACAGTTGCCTTGTGGTTTCTCTCTGCTCCGCTGGGTCCTGCCAGAGCTCAGAAGTAAGTCTTTTCCTGGGGGTCAGGGTGCATGGTGGTCCTGGGGCAGGGGCACACCCGCGCAGCTCGAGGAGCCCCACCCCAGCCCAGGAGGCGGCCAGGGCGTGTCTGTGCCCCGGGGGTTGGCAGAGACCTCACCTGGGCCTGGAGGCTCCAGTCCTGGGACATCCTGAGTCATGCCGTGTGGACACGGCCAGCTGGTGGGCACTGGGGGTGGTGGTCTCGCTGCCCCCATGCGCCGGGAGGGAATGGGCTGCAAGGACCCCACCCAGCTCCCGCCTCATCCCCAGCTGCATGTCCACAGAGCAACCCCAGGGGGTGGGTGCATGGAGGACCCCCTTCTGCAGCCTCCAGCCAACCCCGCCCGCCCCCCGTCCCCCAGGCTCCGGAGTGTGAAGATTGAACAAGGGAAGCTGAACAACCAGGCCAACACGCTCGCCGACCTGGCCAAGGTGAGCAGGGCGGGGCAGGGCAGGGGTGGTGGCTCCCCAGGCTGGCAGGGGCTGGTCAGGCCCCTGGAGGAGGATGGGGGATGTTCAGCAAAGGACAGGGCCCAGCTTCCACCAGGGGAGGGATGGCACTGTGCCCACAGGGCAGGTGGGTGACAGGCAGGGGGTGCAGGGCAGGCAGGGGTGAGCCACCAGGGGACACCTGCAGGGGTCCACTGTGACCAGAGGCTCTGATTGGGAGAGAAACACTGGGGATCCACATCTGTGTGTGAAATCTACTGTAACATTGGCAGCTATTTTATTTTTTAAAAAATTAGTACCTAATTAAATAGCTTTAATGAGAATCTATAATTAGTGGGCTAAGTTAGTGAAGTGGTACTTTTGTATTTAGGTATATCTACACACAAGCTCTGAAATTTAAGAGAAAAACAAAATTCTTTTGCTATGGATATAAATTCAAATTATAGCATCAGTAGAAAGCTTATTTATATGGCAATTAAACATCTTTCAGGACATGAAAGTCGATTTCAAGAGTTCTGTAGGGGCCCGGCACGCACGCTCCGCTGCTGGCGGCCCGGGTTCGGATCCCAGTGCGCACCGACGCACCGCTTGGCTAAGCCGTGCTGTGGCGGCGTCCCACGTAAAGTGGAGGAAGATGGGCATGGATGTTAGCCCAGGGCCAGTCTTCCTCAGCAAAAAGAGGAGGATTGGCAGATGTTAGCTCACGGCTGATCTTCCTCACACACAAAAAAAGTTCTGTAGGGTCAGTTTGTTATAAATAGGTCTACTTGTTGTCTTTGCTATCAGGTCCTCCCCTCTTTCCGCTGTTTATCCCTCCGTTAGAAGACGTGCTGGCAGACCTGACTTGGGCAGGCTCTCAGAATGTCTCACACTCTTCCGAGCTCCCTCCTGCCCCGTGCGCCCAGCCGCATCAGACCTAGCTCCTGCGCGCTCGGCTTGTGGGCCGCCCCTGGTTGGTTCATGAGGCTGGGCTTGTTGAATATCATCTTTGGGAAATGTTAGGTCCTGTTCTGGTCTACTGCTTATGCCCCGGGCATTCTGGACTTACCCTCTTCATTATCAAGAGAATGCAATATAATTTAATATGAACTACATAGATGTAATTTGGAAGGGAGCATTACAGAAGAAAAAAACACTCAAAACCCTGAAGAAAGCCTTCAGTTGGCAGTGGAGAGCGTACATAGGAATCCGTGGCCAACGAATTCCCGGTCATAGGAGATGATAGCTATGAGTACATATAAAATGCCTTTGAAAAACTCGGATCCTAGGTATTCTAATTTCAGTTACCCATATCACACTTCCCTCCTAATGGAATTTTTTGAATTTTTAAAAGTTATTTAAACCTCGTAACCACGGTGGTATACTCTCAAAATACACTTAAAGGCTTCTTGAAGTAAGTCTGTAATTGGATTGCATTATATGGGTTTCTAATTTTTAAAATTTAACAAAGTTAAAACATTTTCCAATGTTAAATTTTAATGCTTTCCTTTCCAAGGTTGCTGATTTAATTTTCTCTCTCTAACAAAAATAAAATATACATTCTAATAAAAAATTTTTTAAACTTCAGAGAAGGCCAAAAAGAACCATCAGAGGGCTGAATGCCTCCAGATGTGGCCCTGGGGACGGTGGCCCCATAGGCAGGTGGGATCAGGGTCAGTGGCCCTAGGAGGGGCCCCGAGGTGTTTGCCCACCCTGAGGGGCGGGGTCGGCCTGCCAGTAACGGAGGCCCGGGCGGGGGCAGGGCGGAGGCAAAGGCGCGGAGGCTGGAAGGAGAGCCTGCGCGTGGGGCGCAGCAGGGAGGAGCTGTGGCAGGCGCCTCATCCTGTTTCCTCCGGCGGAGCGAGGGCTGGGGGTCTGCCCGCACCTCAGCCCCGAGCTGCTCCGTCCATCCTCCGGTTCGAGGAGGGAGGTGGGCTGCGATCCGCCGAGTGGCTGCCCCCCCCCCCCCCCCGCCTCTGGGATGAGAGACGCGGGACGGTGTTCTAGCACCGCCTGGTGGCGAGAGGGGCGTCTGCACCGGGGTCTGTCCCTGTGGCCGGCCTCCCCTTCCGCCGCCGGGGCCCACCTGGCCTGTGGCAGAACCGGCCCTGCTTTCTGGGTTGTGGGGTGCAGCTGAGGTGGTGGGGACAGCCCGCTGCCTGCTGTAGCAGGAATTGTTGTGGCTGTCGTGTTCCCCAGTCTGTGACTGGCTCAGATCCTTGGGTGGTCACCTCTCCCCAGATCCATGTCCCCTCCCCAGTCTAATGTGGGGTGCAGGGGGCAGTTCACACCTGAGCCTCCTCCCCCCAGCCACACCCCCAGCCTGGAGCACCACCGGCTGGAACCTCTTCCAAGTCCCCGGGCCTTGGTTTTCCCGGGGAAGGCAGCACCCAAGACCACCCTTTGCTTCATGTCCCACGTGGCCAGTCCATCCCCCTGGGGCAGCTCCGGCCACGTCCCCCCACCCGGGACGTCCCTCAGCCTCCCCTGGGCTGCTGGCCCTGAGCCCGGTGTTAAAGACCCTCTCTCCCTCACCTGTGCCCACTCTTCCTGGGAGTCCGGCGAGAGAACTGCAGGGCTCGTGTCCTCAGTCACCCCTCATTTGGTCCCCATGGCACCCGTCTCGGTCCCTCCCTCTCTCTCTCTCCTCTCTCCCACCCTCTGTCTCCGGCAGACGCAGAACGCCATGTGCGACCTCATGTCCGAGCTGCACGCCCAGCACGAGGAGCTTGAGGCCCGCCTGGCTGCCCTCGAGAGCCGCCTGGACGCTCTGAGCGCCTCCCTGCAGGCCCTGCCGGGCCTCGTCGCCCGAGCCGTACGCCCGCCTCCACCTCCCCTGCCCCCCGGGCCCGGCCCCCCAGGCCAGGCAGCCCAGAGCCCCCCACGCAGGGGGCCGCCCGTGGCCCCCTGGGACTGTGGGTGACAGCCCTGCCCGCCAGCAGACCCCTCAATCTTGGCCATCGTGTGGCCGCCGCCTCCGTGCCGTCCAGGGAGCCCTGTGGAGCGGCGCCTCCTGAAGTTCAAGGAGCCGCAGCTGAGTTGGGCTGAGTGGACCCGGGCGCGGCCCACCGGGACTGTCCAGGCGAGGGCAGGGCTGGCCACTGGCCACTTCCTCAGATGGGGCTGGGGAGCCCGGAGCCTCCTCTGGTCCCCGGGCCCCCCGACTCTCTCCAGGCCCCCAGTGGGCATGGAGCAGCCGAGAGGGGGGTCCTTGTCAGTGCTGAATAAAGCAGGACCCACCCAGTTGCTGCCTGTTGTGCGTGGCTGGAGGACACTCATGGTCACCACGTGGAGGTGGACACTCGAGGGATGTGGGGGTCAAGGAGAGCCCGTCCCCATCACCATCCTAGGCTGGCCATCTCCCAGCCTGAGCTCAGTCCGAGACACCTCCCTGAGGACATCTGTGCCAATGCCACCTGGCCCCAATAGAGGGAGCCTTCAGGGCGCGAGTCCCAGCCCTGGCCCACAGGAGGCAGCAGATAATCAGGACGTCCTGCCCTCTGGCTGGTTGCCTTTGCTGGAGCAGCCACTGTGAGCCCGGCTCCAGCGGGGCCATGGTCGCGGTCTGTGACGTGAGTGAGGAGGGCCATTCAGTCTTTGTTGGGCATGTATTGAGCACCTGCTGTATATAGGGAATGTAATGTAAATTACCTCAGTAATTTACCTCGGTAAATTACTGACTCTTCACCAGAACCTGGCCAGGCTGAATGAGGAAACTGAGACTCAGAGAAGTGAAGCCACCTGTCTGGGGCTGCAGAGCTAGAGGAGTGAGCCAGGATTCAAACTCAGGGGCCCATAGGACTTGGTGGAGGGCTCCCCATGGGGGGGTCATGAGTAGGGGAGGGTGTGGTGTGATCCTGGGGTTAGAGAGGCCCCCCTGGGGTGGGCTGGAGGGGAAGGTCCCTCCAGGCCTTTGGCTCGGGGTGCTGGGGTCAAGCAGGGGCAGCGGGCACTTGGCCGGTGCGTGCCCCAGGTGGGGAGGGGAGCCCTGGCTCCAGGGGAGGCTAGTCTGGGGCCAGCGGAGAACCCAGGCCCTGGCGGCCTCTGATAAGGCCACGGCCACCTGGCTTAGGGTGATCGGTTGGGCGCGAGAGACAAGGGTCTGGGGAGCTGCTGGTGGGCTGCAGTCAGACCTGGGTTCAAGTCCTGACTCCACCACCGCCCGTGGCCTCTGGGCAGTGGCTGCCCCTCTGGGGGCCTCAGTTTCCTCATCTGTAAGATCTGGTGAGGAGAATAGAGCACAGTGTCCACGCTCGGGAGCACTCAGTCTGATGGAGGAGGCCCGGTAAACGTGGCAGACACAAACACAGCCACCAGAGCCATGCAGAAACAAGACCAGAGCATGACTGGGCGACGCTGAGGTGACATTTGGGCGTGGGATGGGGTGGGAGAGCGAATCCGGGGAAGGGCGTTTGTAGTAGCAGAACAGCCAGTGCAAGGGCCAAGAGGCAAGACCTGAGCTCAGTGTGTGGGGAACAGCCAGGAGGTGGCAGGGAGACCAGTGGGGAGGCTGGGGCGGCGCCGGGGCCAAAGGTGCAGGGTGGAGGACGACCGACGGCAAGACAGAGCCTGGTGGCCGCCTCCGCTGCGAGTCGGCCACATCCGCCCCCGCCCGCCTCTGACTCAACAGCGCCAACCCTACCAAACAGGGCGGGCCCCGCCCTGGGGGGTGGTGAAGTCAACAGCGCGGGCACGCGGGCGGGACATCCCCGGCGGCCGGTGCGCGTCACCGGGGCGGGCGCGGAGGACCAGGAAGTTCGCCGACTAGCGCCTGCCGGGGGCGGGCGGCGCCTGCACGAGTCCACAGAGACCAGGACAAGCTCGGAGGCGCCCGGGGCTCGAGCACGAGGGCTGAGAGCCGGGAGGTCTGTGCGCCCCGCGAGCGCGCCCTCCCGCCGTGCGCGCAGGCCCGCGCCATGCGCCCGGGGGGCGTGCGCAGCTTCGCGCTGGAGCTGGCGCGGGGCCCGGGCGGCGCGTACCGCGGCGGGGAGCGGCTGTGCGGCCGGGTGCTGCTGGAGGCGGCGGCGCCGCTGCGGGTGCGAGCGCTCGAGGTGGCGGCGCGCGGCGGGGCGGCAACGCACTGGCTCGAGGGCCGAAGCGTGGGTGTCAACGCGGTGTCCTGCGACTTCGCGGCCACCGAGACGTACCTGCGGCGGCGGCAGCTGCTGCTCCGAGGTGAGCCGCTCACCCCTCACTCCCCAACCGGGATCACCCGGGACCCTCTCCCCAGGTCTGGGCGCCCCTCTCCAGAGCCGGGAGCCTTTCTACTTAGAGGCTGGGAGGTTGGTGATCCTTCTCAAGAAGGGGGGGACCTCCTCTTCAGGGTCTGGACCCTCCCACCGGAACACACATCCTCCCACCTACCCCCCTCCAAAGCTCTCTTTCCCGGGAACCCCTTCCAGAGTCGGGATGCCCTCGACCTAGAAGCTCTGCTGTGGGGACCCCCTATCCAGAGTCTCGGGGAACCCCTGGGTGGAGCCGGGAGATCCTCTTCTTTGGACCACACCATCCCCCTTTAGCCCCAGGCCTGGGGACCCAGAAGACTCAGATTCCCACAGAAACCCCCGTCTCACGTTCCGCCAGTGCCCCTCCCTCGGTTAGCCCACAGTGTTGGCAGAACCAGTTCTCCCCCGGGGTAGGGGTTCTGGCGGGGTCTGCGGGTGAAGGGTCGGAATGCCTCCCGGCGGAGCAGGCGGGGTGGGGCACGTCAGGCTGGGAGTCTTAGGTCTTGGTCGTGTCCCTACCTGCTCCGGACCTCGGTCCCCCACCCTCAGGCCACGCGGCCAGTCAGGATTAGACCAGGGACCACAGAAACCTTGCTGTGTGGCGGAAGAGGGTGTCAGCCTCTCTGGGCTGCCCTGGCTGCCTCCTCCCGGGTGAGCCAGACCCCGCTCTACCCGTCTGCAAAGTGGGCAGAGGCAGAAGGCAGCTCAGACCCCGCCCTCGCCCGCAGCCTCCTGCAGCCCCCCTCCTTTCCAGCCTGCACACAGCGGTTGCTCTGCCTACGGCCTGGCAGCCTGGTCCCGACCGCCCCAGGTGCGGGGACTCTTGCCTGACCGCTGTGGAAACCGAGGCGGGGCCGGCGAAGGGCGGGGCAGGAAGGGGCCCCGGAGGCACTTCCCTTCCCCTGCGGCTCAAGGGAAACTGGGGCTGGTCTCCCCCTGCAGTCCCCTGGTCCTAGCCACAGGCGGCTTCCTTAAGACACTGGACCCGAGAAGCTTGCAGAGCTGCTGTGTGACCTCGGGCGTGTGACCTCCCTAGACCTCTGGGGACCCATCTGTGAAATGGACTGAGGGAGGCGCTGGTCCCCCAGGGTCACCTCATCCCCCATCTCCTCCTGGGTTTATGGCCTCCTGTCCTCCCTCTAGGCTCTACTTGGCCCTGGGAGAAGGTCCCAGCCCCTTATTTCAGTCCCAGAGCCACCTCTTCCAGGCAGCCCCCCCAGGCTGATCAGTTAGTCGACAGTCTCTGCCCCTCCATTCGGTCCTGCTCTGACCCCTATCACGGGCTGCAGGTAACGGTGTCAGGTTGTGGCCGTCCCCCACTCGGGGTGCCAAGGCCTCAGCGGGGTCCCAGCATCGCCTGAGCCAGACTCAAAGGGGACCGCCCGCGAAGAGGGTGGGTTCGAGCAGCAGTGCATCCCGCTGCCACCAGAGGGCGCCGGCGCCCCGCAGACGGCGAGGAGGCAACTCCAGCCCTAGAAACCCTTCCGTGCGGGTCTTCTCTGGGGAAACTGAGGCCCAGAGAGGGGTCAGTACCGCCCCGAGGGCCCACCGCAGCCCTGGCCCCGGGGGTGCCTGGCGTGTTCCCTGCAGTCGGCTCTATGAGGGGACCGGGGCTGCGGGTGCCCAGAGCGGGCACAAGGCCAGGCCTAGGGGGCTAGTAAGAACTTGCCAGAGAGCTGAAGTAGGGAAGGGAACGTCGGGTGGCAGGAACAGCTTAGGCAAAAGCGCCGGGGCGCGACCTAGGGGCAGCGTGTCGGGAGCGGACTGAAGACGCCAGAGCGAGGCTCTGGGCGGGGTCGAGTTGGGGCTACACCGTGATTCATGCACAACCCTCTGGGGTCGGGCCTGATCTCCCCGCTCTACAGACGTGGACTTAGGCTCCAGGAGATTGTCGCTAGCCCCGGGTCACCCAGCTGAGCGGGGTCCGAATCAGAGGAGGGGGGCAGCAGGCGCCCTAGTGGAGGGAGGCCCCCTCACTTCCTCCTCTCTCGCCCATTGCACAGAGGGGGAAACTAGGCACAGAGGGGTAGTCCTAGGCTCTGAGGGCCCCGATTGAGGCCAGGCCGTTCCCCTGCAGCTCGAGCTGAACATGCCTCGAGTCACGCCTGCAAGTGGCGGCTCGTTGGTGATTAAGCCGAGGGGCAGAATGGTCTTGCTGGGTGACTTCAGGCCGTGGCCCTGCCGCCGGGCCCCAGTTTCCCTTGTTTATCCCCGGGAGACCGGCTCTGGCCCTGTTTCACCCCAGGGTCCACGACGGCTGAGGGCAGCCAACTCCCAGCCCGCGAGTTTGTTGTTTTGCTCCACGCCTGGGCGGAGCCACGCCCCTCGCCGCACCATTGGTGTATTCCTTTCCGGGGGCGTGGCCAGAGTTTCGCCCCGCCCCGCCGTGCCGTATAAAGGCGGCGCCGGCGCAGACCGCAAGGAGTCTCAGGCCCGGTCAGCGAATGCGCTTGCGCACGACGGAGGGTTAGCGTCCAGAGGCTGTTGCGTACGCCCATCGCGCCGCCGCGTCGCGGGTTCGAGGCCAGGTTCGCGCGTCGTAGGTTCGCCTCTGGGCGGGATGCTGTTCGACAAAGTGAAGGCTTTTGCGGTGCAGCTGGACGGCGCGAGCGCGGGCGCCGAGCCGGTCTTCAGCGGCGGCCAGTCCGTGGCCGGCCGAGTCCTGCTGGAGCTGGTGGGCCCCGCGCGCGTGGGCGCCCTGAAGTTGCGCGCGCGGGGCCGCGCCCACGTGCGCTGGACCGAGTCGCGCAGCGCGGGCTCGAGCACCGCGTACACGCAGAGCTACAGTGAGCGCGTGGAGGTCGTGAGCCACCATGCCACGCTGCTGGCGCCAGGTAGGGGCTGAGGACGCCCGCGAGGCGCACATGCTGCGCGCTCCGGGAACTCCGCGCAGCCACTGAGCCGCCCCCTCTTGCTCCTACCCGCAGACACCGGTGAGACCACGACGCTGCCTCCTGGGCGCCACGAGTTCCCATTCAGCTTCCAGCTGCCCCCGTAAGTAGCTAGGGTGCAGGGTTGTGGACGCTCCCTAAACCTGCAGCCCCTTCCAGGTTTGGGACTCTGCTGCTCGGGATCTGGGGACCTCTGAGCCCCAAGACTGTCTCTCCGGCTGGACAGTGTCTGTGTGTGTCTCATCCCCCTGAGTCTATGGGCATCCCCCCCCCACCCCCGGCTGTGTATCTCGCTCCTGAAACCCATTCCTCCACCCCAGGACCCTGGTCACGTCGTTCGAGGGCAGACACGGCAGTGTCAGGTATTGCATTAAGGCCACCCTGCACCGGCCCTGGGTCCCTGCCCGCCGGGCAAGGAAGGTCTTTACTGTTATCGAGCCTGTGGACATCAACACGCCTGCCCTGCTGGTGAGTGCCTGTGCCCCGCCCCCGGAGGTGGGATGGGAGCATTGCAGGCAGGGGTCTGGCTGCTGGGTGACCCGGACCACTGCTCACCCCTTCACACAGTGGGGGCCACAGCTGGGCCCTGGCAGGGAGGGAGGCAGGCATGGGAATGCCTATGAAGTTCAGTGGAGCCAGGTGCAAATCCCAGCTGCACCAATTTGCTGTGTGGCTCTGGCCAAGTTTCTCACCCTTTCTGAGCCTTAGATGCCTTGTCTGTGAAATAGGGCACAACCAGGACTTGCAATAATAATGGCTGACTGAGCACTAATTACACACTAAGTGTCTGGTTGTTTATTTACAGTTTAATGAGATGGGTCGTAATTCTGGATCCATTTTATAGATAGTTCCTAGGTTGTTACCAAGAAACCAGGAAATTAGTCCCTGCCCCGAGTCCTCCCTCGGCGGGGGGTGGCTCGGGAGCTCCGCAGGGTCTATGGTTTGCACAGAGTGACCTGTTCGTGTCCCCACCAGGCCCCTCAGGCAGGTGCCCGGGAGAAGGTGGCCCGATCCTGGTACAGTAACCGAGGCCTCGTCTCCCTCTCGGCCAAGATCGACAGAAAAGGCTACACCCCAGGTAGCAGGCGGGAGGGGCTGGATGGGGCCGGGCCGGTGCCGGGCTGCAGGCGGGGCACTGAGGCCTGCTGCCCTGCCCCGCAGGCGAGGTGATCGCCGTCTTCGCGGAGATCGACAATGGCTCCACGCGCCCGGTGCTGCCTCGGGCGGCCGTGGTGCAGACACAGACCTTCGTGGCCCGAGGCGCCCGCAAGCAGAAGCGGGCCGTGGTGGCCAGCCTCTCGGGCGAGCCCGTGGGCCCCGGGCGGCGGGCGCTGTGGCAGGGCCGGGCCCTGCGGATCCCCCCGGTGGGCCCCTCCATCCTGCACTGCCGCGTGCTCCACGTGGACTACAGCCTCAAGGTGGGGCGTCCTGCGCACGGGGGCTGCGTCTGCTCGGTCCCCCACACGGGAAGGGCCCCTCTACAGAAGGAGGCTGTGGCCGAGGCTGCCCGGGCCCCTCCCTTATGGCTCGTTCCCCCAGGTCTACGTGGACATCCCGGGCACGTCCAAGCTGCTCCTGGAGCTGCCGCTGGTCATCGGCACCATCCCCTTGCACCCCTTCGGCAGCCGCTCGTCCAGCGTGGGCAGCCACGCCAGCTTCCTGCTGGACTGGGGGCTGGGGCCGCTGCCGGAGCGGCCTGAGGGTGAGCTCCCTGTCGGGTCCGGCCGCAGAGGGTGGGCGGGCAGAGAGGTGGTGCCGGGCTGACTCTCCATCTGCCAGCCTCGATGCCCCCGTCCGTAAAAGTGCACAATAACGGTCACGTTCGCCCCGGAACTCCCAGAATCCCAGCCTGGGGGCACACAGCCCGCCAGCAGCCCCAGGACGGGCACAAGCCACCTCCCGGCCACTGCCCCCAATTCCGGGATGCCCTCCTTCCACCAGCCTCACCCACCCTGTCTCGCTTCCAGCCCCTCCCGAGTACTCGGAGGTGGTGGCAGACGAGGAGGTGGCAGCTGTGGGGCAGAGCCCCGTCCCACAACTGCAGGCCCCTGACACGAGCCTTGAAGGCCCGTTCTTCGCCTATCTCCAGGAGTTCCGGTACCGCCCACCGCCCTTGTACTCTGAGGTGAGCTGGGGGTCCAAGGAGCCCCCATGCCCTCCAGGCCCTGGAGCCAAGAGGGGGTGGGAGACACAGAGGAGTTTTAAATGTGAACAGAATTCGTGTCCATTCGTTCAGGGCCCTCAGCCGCCCTGCACCCCGTCTGCGTCGAGTGTTTCCCCCAGGGCTGAACGTGGGAGTCTCGGACGAGCGGGGCGGGGTGGGAGGCTCTGAGCCACCGGGCCCCCTGAGAACTGATGGGACTCTTCTCTTCAGGAGGATCCAAACCCACCCTCACAGGCCACGAGGCCACGCTGTGTGACCTGCTGATAGGCAGGTAGATCCATCGAGGGGTGAGGTTCACGTGTGCGTCCGGCCGCCGTGGATGTGGGAGTCGCTAGAAAAAGGGCAGACCGGCCTGACTGCACTGAAGTTGGGGAAACCGAGTCTCAGAACCAGCAGGGCTGTACTGACGTCACATGGGACAGAGGAAGAGCCAATCTGGAACTTACCTGCACTGGTCCTCATAAGGCATCAAATGCCCCGTGCAGGATTCGAGACACTGTACTACCTGTCTGTGCCAGCCTGTGGAGAGGGCTGGGGTCCCCCAGGAACCTCCAGTCTGGGAGACACACAGCCAGACATAAATAGTTCCAGTCTTGTGGGACCAGAGGGAGGTTCCCGGAGCTGGAAGAGTCCAAAGGGGGAGTAGAGAAGGCTTCCTGGAGGAAAGGGCATTTTAGCTGAGGCTTTGGCATATGAATAAGAGCTCAGCAGGCAGGCAAGCAAGAGGGAGGAGAAGTCGGAGAAGGTCAGAGCTGAGTGATGTTTGGAAACTGGCCCCTTTGTTTTAGAACTGGGGCTCAGAGGGCGAGTGCCTCAGCTGAGGCCACCGCTGCAAGGTTCAGAAGGCAAGAGGGCCCAGGAATGAGGCATCCAGGGAAGCAGGTCATGGGAACGATTGGGGGGCCTCTGAGTGGCAGGGGCAGTGGCATCAGCATTTGCAAGCAGATTCCTGGCGCAGGCTGGGGCTGCCTGGGTCGCCTCCGAGGGCCCCAGGACCTGAGAGCCGCCTGGGTATTGTCAGGGCCCGGGAAACCCAGGTTCAGAGGGGGACACGCCAGACCTGGCTACATAAGTTCCAAAATGGAAACGCAGGGCCCCTTGTTCAAGACTGATTAAGAATTTGAAGACTGACAGCAGAGCATTAGGGTAGGCCCCAGGGACTAGAGGACAGCCCCCACGGCAGGGGACAGCAGGGCCCGTGTGCTCCCGAGACCCAGTGTGTCCTGGAGGGACAGCGTGAGGGGCCACTGGGCAAGCCCCTAGTGCAGAGTCTCAGCCTGGCTGGGGCGGGGCCCCACCTGGGACTCGGCATTTCTGATGAGCCTTAAATCCATCTCTTTTGTACAATTACTTTTTAAAAATAAAAACGTGGAAGAAGACGAGGAGCCTGTTTGTTTCTTTCCCCTCAACTGCCAAGGAAGCTGGGGCGGCCTTGACCGCTGTCCCAGGTCAGGGTCTCGGGGGATTAAGTTCAGGCAGTGGAGGGCTGAGGGGCCCGTTGTCCAGAAGGGGAGACCCAGCTCCAGTGGGAGCCAGGGCCTACGCACCCCCCCCACCCCACCCCCGTGCAGCGGCAGAGGCTGGGGCACGGAGGTGGAGGGCAGACAGACCCTGTCCCTCGGCAAAGAGAGGAGGGGGCTTGGCTGGGCAGGGGTGCCGGTGCAGGGGGATCCTGCCCATCTGAGTCTAGGCTGTTGTTTTTATTGAGGTGCAATTCATATACCATAAAACACACCATTCTCAAGTATACAATTCAGTAGCGTTTAGCACATTCACAGTGTTGTACAACCATCACCTCTGTCTAGTTCCAGAACATTCTGTCACCCCAAAGGAGACTTCCTAGGCATCCCCCTCCAGCTAATCCACTTTCTGTCTCTGTGGATTTCCCTGTTCTGGACGTTTCATATGAAGGGATCACACCCTGTGTGGCCGTCTGTGTCTGGCTTCTCTGGCTCAGCAAGAGGTTTTCCAGGTTCATCCACGTCGTGGCACAAATCACGGCTTCAATCCTGTTTCTGGCTGAGTAATATTCCACCGTGTGGCCGGACCACACTCTGTTCATCAGTCCGGTGCGGACCGCCATCCGGGGCACTTCCTCGTCCCGCGATCGTGCCGAGGGCAGCTGTGGACATGTGCCGACCCTTCGTGTGCATACTCACTGGGCTCTCAGGCAGCCCTCGGGGGGTGGGGCTGTCACCCGTCTGAAGCCGCAGGTGGCTCGCCCAGGATCCCACAGTCCGGAAATGCCACTCAGAACCGCCCCTGGGCCTCTAGTGTCTACGCCCCCCCCCGCCACGTGACACGTGCTCAGGCTCCGCCCCAGACCCCGAGGCCCCGCCCACAGGGGGCGGGGCCCAGTTAGGCCCCTTGTCTGAAAGCCCAGCCTGCCCGCCTGGCGGCCCAAGGCGGTAAAGGTTAGCTGACAGTCGGGCTGGACATTGGCAGGGCCGAGGGGCAGGGATGGGGGCAGGGGGACCCAGGGGCTGGACACTGGGATATCTGAGTTCAGGCTTTGCTCTCTGTGTGACTCTGGGCAGATCACTTGCTTCTGAGCCTCAGTTTCCCCATTTGAGACTCTGGGACACCTCCCCTCCACAGGCTCAATCACGCCCCTCCCTGGCCTGAGTTTAGGCCCTGATTTTCAGCTGCTCCCGGTCCTGGGGTCCACTCAGTGCCCCCTGACCAGCAGTGTCTGCTCTGGGCAGCTCACCTGGCCTCAGGCTTGAAGCCCGCCAGACGTGGCGATCTCTGGGGCCGGGCAAGGGGAGATGTTCCCATGGCACAGTCACCTAGACCCCAAATTGGCATCCTCAGGAGGGGGTGAGTTCCCCGTGACCCAGGGTGTTCGAGATGTAAGATCTGCGTTTCCAAACTGGGAAGAGTCTAAGATGTGTATTGCAACAGCAGATGTGGGGAAAGTTCACAAAGTTTCTCCCTGGCGAGCTTGGGGGACAGGCCACCCGTGTCCCCAGGACTCCTGCGTCTGCAACTACAGGGAACCTGATCCCAAAAAGCGGCTGAGTTTCTGGCCCAGAGAAATGACAGCCAGGACGGCGTGGCTCGGCAGTCCGGAACTCAGGGAACTCCCTGAGCACAGCGGGGCACGTAGGGCCCAGAGCAGGGGAGCCAAATATTCTCCTCAAATAAAATCGCACCCCTCCCCGGGCCCCTACGACGTCCCACCCCGTCCGCTGCCAGCTCCCCCTCCGTCTCTGGCTGCTGCTCAGACACCCTAAGCTCGTTCCCACCTCAGTGACTTTGCACATGTGGTTCCCTCTGCTGAAGGCTCTTCCCTATGACCAGCTCCTCTTTATCCCCTAGCCTCAGCTTTTCAAGGACACCCCAACCTCCTGGCTGGAGTCGCCACCCCCTATGACTCCCTCTCCCATCCCCCTGTCCTGTTGTCTTCATAGCCCTCATCACCCTCTGAAATTCTTATTTAGATATTCACTTGTTTGTCTGAGCCTTTGAGGGCGGGGCTGGGTCAGGGCTGTGTCCCTGGCCTTAGTGCATCTCGGGCATGAGGGGGGTTGTTGACTGACTGAATGACTGGAGAGGATTTCCCTGCTACTCTGGTGTGGACGGAGATTCTGATGGGGTGGGAGTGTCGCCACCTGGCATTTGTACCCCCTAGAATCAGACCTGTCACCCTTTCAGAGAGGCAAACACCAGGTCTCTGACTCTCGATACTGTCTCTGTCTCTCCCAGTCTCTGACTTGCACCATCTTTGTCTCCCTAGCTCTGCCCCTCCGTGCTGCTTTCGCACTGTCTCCTTTGCTCACTGTTTCTCTGTCACTGGCTCTCATTGTCTCTGGCTCCCCTGTCTCTGTCTCGGGTTCACCATCTCTGCGTCTCCGTCTCTCTCACTATCTCTCTGTCTCTGTCTCTTGCTCACCGTCTCTCTTGGTCACAGCTCTGTGTCTCTCTCAGTCTCTGAGTCTTTCACCGTCTCTGTCTCCTGCCCCGGCCCGGCCAGGTGGGGGCACAGGGTGACAGGCAGGCAGGCCACCCTCGGCTTGTTTTCCGCCCTCGCTGGCAGGGAGCCTGGCTGGGCTGCTGTTCAGGAATCCTCTGGCCACCCCACTCCAGCCACCAGGCACAGCAGCCGCCAGCCTCGTCTCCCGGCACATTCTGTCCTGAGCAGGGAGCACTGGGGGCGGGTGGGAGGGGGTGCATTCCTGCTGGGCTCCAGTTACAGGACAGCCTGTCCTTGTGGCCCTGCTCCCCACCAGCGCTGCCCCCTGAAGCCTCCCCTCCCAACTCTGGGCTTAGATCTTCCTGAATGGGGCCCCTCTGTCAGCTCATCCACACCTCAGGGCCTTTGCACCTGCTGTGCTTTCCACCTGGAGCTCCTCTCCCCAGATCTCCCAGGACCTCCCCCTGCAGGCCTCAGATCACACATCACCTTCTCAGGAGGCCCTCCCTGTCCCGAGGCTGGAGTGCCCTCAGCTCCCCCACCCCTGCCCTGACACATTTGCTTCCTGATCTTCGCCCCTCCCCAGATTATATATTTACTTGGTTGTGGATGGGGGGTGGCTGTTACCCTTGCTCCAGGCACACAGAGCAGGGGCTCAATGGGTGAATATTTTAGAATTGATGTCAAAGCTCAGCTCTGTCAGAGCTGCCCAGGCTCACTCGGCACCCCGGCCCCTCAGCCTGCCTGCCCTACTGCGCCCCCCGCTGTGCCCCACGCCCCCCCTGCTGTTCCCCAAGCCCCCTGCTGTTCCCTGCACTGCCTGCTGTTCCCTGTGCCCCCCTCCCTGCTGTTCCCCATGCCCCCTGCTGTTCCCCGAGACCCCTGCTGTTCCCTGCACTGCCTGCTGTTCCCTGTGCCCCCCTCCCTGTTGTTCCCCATGCCCCCTGCTGTTCCCTGCACCCCACAGCAGTCTCCCAGACTTCCTGCCTCAGCCGGGGGAGTTCTCTCTGCCGGGGGCACCCTTTCCAGCGCGGGCTGGGTTGCCCTTGGGCTCCACACACGGGGCCGCCGTGATGGACACACGCAAACGCACACGAGTGCACACACACAGGAACCGGCCAGTGACCTCGGGCACACGCGGCCGAGACTCGGCTGACGCAGCCCCTCGTGCACAGCGTGAAGCAGCTGACACCTGTCCCCACAAGTGTGACAGTGGTGACCGCCCTGGCTGAGGGTCTCAAGGTGCTCACGTGGGAGTCCCCTGACTCTGGGGGAAGCAGTCATGGCCTCCGGCCTGCAGGTGGGTCAGACGCGGGACCTGACCCCACGCCAGGGTGTGCCCGGACGTGTCCACGCGGC